TGTTCACATCCTGCCAAAAATTGACCCGAGTTAAAGTGGACTGTCAGAGGCTGGTATAATAACACTAGTTGATTATACGCACCTGGGGTTATTTTTGAATGATGTGAACAACCTGTGGAGTAACGTAATTGACGTTTTTATAGCTAAACTGCCCATTTAAATGCCTAACGAGGTGCAATCGTTAATTTTGGCCCCAGCTTCGTGTGTCAGATTCATAACACAGGTCAAAGGGAAGGGTAGTGTGGGTGAGGTGAGGGTGGGAAGCCTTTGAAGCACTAAAGCACTCGTGCTCCACCATGGCTGGTGTGGAGCACCCCCGAAGGGCGACCCTCAACCTCTCCCTCCTGAAGGGGAGCCGTCAGCACGCCCACGGCCAGGGACAGTGTCACACGGGAGTGTACCGTCCCACAACTACGCCCACGCTAGAGGAGCAGCGCGCCCGTCTGCTGCCCACGCCAGGTTAGACCACATTTATTTTTTTTTGAACTTCCTAAGAGGTATGCCATGTGTTAGTTAACTCACGACATTGCTAGGATAATTTGTGAATGAAGGAATTTGTGTGTGTGTGTGTGTGTGTGTGTGTGTGTGTGTGTGTGTGTGTGTGTGTGTGTGTGTGTGTGTGTGTGTGTGTGTGTGTGTGTGTGTGTAAAGAATGGAAGAAGAGTCACTGAGGATCAACTTATTTGTGATCTCTCCACCTGCTGGAACCACAACATCCCTGCTTCACGTGCTGCAAGTAGAGCATCCCTGCTTCACGTGCTGCAAGTAGAGCATCCCTGCTTCACGTGCTGCAAGTAGACATCCCTGCTTCACGTGCTGCAAGTAGAGCATCCCTGCTTCACGTGCTGCAAGTAGAGCATCCCTGCTTCACGTGCTGCAAGTAGAGCATCCCTGCTTCACGTGCTGCAAGTAGAGCATCCCTGCTTCACGTGCTGCAGATAGAGCATCCCTGCTTCACGTGCTGCAGGTAGAGCATCCCTGCTTCACGTGCTGCAAGTAGAGCATCCCTGCTTCACGTGCTGCAAGTAGAGCATCCCTGCTTCACGTGCTGCAGATAGAGCATCCCTGCTTCACGTGCTGCAGGTAGAGCATCCCTGCTTCACGTGCTGCAAGTAGAGCATCCCTGCTTCACGTGCTGCAGGTAGAGCCAAGTTTAATTTATAATTTAGATCGCCTACGTGGCGTACAAAGGTGATTCATCAGTCTCCTAACAATTTCCTATTTGTAATAACCTCTGTGGATGTGTTTACTCAGAATTGTGCAAGCATGAGTCAAGACAGATTCTGAGGCCGCCTCTTAAATTGGCTTAACCAACATTTACAAGATTCTTGCCGCCCAAGCTGTCATACCTAATCTTGAAACTGTGAATAAAGTTTGCATATTCATCGAGCTTGTTCCATTCCTCTACCAAGATATGGCCAAATAAATACTTCCCAATATCCCTGAGTTTTATGTCCCAGTGTTTTCTGTCAAGGTAATCCTTTCAAGGAGTTGCCTTGATACTGGTGAGGGTTCCTCATCCAAGAAATAGGAGCTATTCTTTCCTTGGGTCATACCTGATTACCCCACTTATATTTCTCAGGCGCTGTGTGACGGGTTTAGCGCTTACCCGTAAATATAAAATATATTAAGGATTTCTTACAGTGTTATAAGGAAATTTCTCGATTTAGGTTTGGTTAGATTGTCGTCTGTTCAAAAAAAAGTATTACTGCTTACGTGTATTGCCGCAACAGCAATACACATAGGTAGTACTCAAACGGAAAATGGGAACCGCCGACGGTTTAATACACAGTAAAAACTCATTTTGTCCAAGCCTCTTATCACAGTAAGATACAGACTTTGCTTAGGAGGAGGATACCCTGCTTTAGCTTCCGTGTCCTCACTTATCAAACTGTTCGTCTTTTGTCAGTATAGCTGAAGATTTCATATGTAGTAATGCCCCCCGTTTTCTTCCTTTCCTTTTGGATCATCAGGTGCAGTTTCACGAGTAAGCTAAAGGACAAGTTTCGTTGCAAATCTTTGGACTTCACTGACCTTTTTCATGTGTGGGCTTCACGGTGGGGCTGTGTTTTTTGTGATGAATATAGCATATCTAGTGCATAGGGACTCTGTATTATAGGTTCCTGACTTGCGTATACTACTAATGTATTGACCTATTTGAGGTTGCAGGGGACGAGTCTCAGCTCCTGGCCCCGCCTCTTCCCTAGCCGCTACTATTAGCAGGTTTTTTCAATTTTTGT